GGAGAAAACTCCGGCCCAGTTACTCATACTTGACAGAGGATTTGATCCAGTTTCTACACTACTGCATGAACTAACTTTTCAAGCAATGATTTATGATCTTTTGCCTATTGAAGATGATGTTTACAAGTAAGTACTTTTATATTTTTCCTTTCCTTAAAATAAATGTTTGCAGAAAAACTGATGTTAGTACATTTTATGCTGCCTGTAGATCTTTTAATACCATAGCTTTTTTTTAGGAAAGCTTTGCATATTAAAGGGGACCTGTGAGCTGATATTGCTGAATTGTTTTTAAAGGTGCACATTATGGGGATATTATCCACAAGGTTAAGGGTAAGTTCACTGTCTCCCAAAATGTAAGCAAATGAACACCCCACCACCTCTCCCAGCCTCCACTGCACATACCTGTGTGAGTCTCACATTTTGTGAGAAAGTGAACATACCCTTTAACCTAACTAGCTATTACCAATGATCTGAAATTAACATGTAGCCAGTGAAGTCTGAATAGTCTGAACTCCCATTTTCTTTGTCCATTGAGGGACATAGACATTGGGTTCTACTGCCTCCTACAGAAGATTGGGACACTAGCAAACTTAGAAAAATGGTGAGCCAGCCCCTGTATAGCCCCGCTTCCAACCATCATTACTCAGTTTTGTTTTTGTTGTGTCATCTTACTTACTGATGGCTTGATCACTGTGCTGCATTGCATGCACTAAAAGCAGAGCTGTTAGTGAGACCACTACTGCAGAAAATCCTCAGGGTGCGTATACACGACCAGTCACCCTGCACAAATATAGAAAGCAGCAGTCTTTATTACAGAAAAATCCCTCAGAGGCAACGTGCAAATGTTATTTCATTCTGGATTACTGCAGAGACCTGAGAAATAGACAAATGAGACCAAGTTTTAAGTAAGAATAAATGTTCTTGTCATAGGCAATGTTTCTTTAGGTTGGAGTTCAGCTTTAAGGCAGGAAGTAGCAAAACTGATAAATGAAGTCGGAGCTTCCTTTTTCAATTCGTAGGCACCTGATTTACATATACTGCACGTGGCTCGATAAATCTCTCCAATGGCGTTTGCAAACAAGATGTGCATTTTTGTAAAATAACTGACTGAACAATTCATACATATACAGCGGTACCTCGGCTCACGAACGCCTCTGTTCACGAACAAACTCTGCCTCGGGTGACGAACATGACCACGGCCATCTTCCCCGCTCTGACACATGGTCGTGGCTTCCTGTACTCGAGATTGCGGTTGCAGACAGGGCTGTGGACACTTACTGTGAAGCTTTTTTTTGTGTGCTTTGTAGCATAGTACTGTACAGTATTACTGTATTAAATCCAGCATGGCTCCCAAGAAAGTGCAGAGCAAGCATGGTGGGAAAAAGAAAGCGCGGAGCATTAATGAAGGTGACAAGAATGTGCAGAGCGTTAATGAACGTGACAAGCATGTGCAGAGCGTTATTGAAGGTGACAATGTGCAGAGCAAGAATGGTGGTAAAAAGAAACTTGTGGTTTATTTTTTGTTTTTTTTTATGGTTCAGAATGGATTAATCTGATTTACATTGAACCCTATGGGAAAATGTGATTCAGTTCACAACCAATTCGGTTCGCAACCAGAATCGTGGGACCAATTAAGTTTGTGAACCGAGGTACCACTGTACATGCTATGAAGTTACATGGGTTGTGTAAAATCTTCAGTACTTATATAGTTTTTGCTCATAACTGAAGGATGATTGATCATGCTGGACAGACAATGCTGTAGCAGAAATTGTGTTATTGTGTAGTACTCTGGCTGTATATGATTTATTTGCTGCATTTAGCAGTATGTCTATTTGACATGCATACTATTTAATTGAATTGTGAAAACCCATTTTTTTCGTAATGTTTAATAGGTATCAAACAGACACCCCCCTTGGGATAAAAGACAAAGAAGGTCGATTAGATGAGTCTGACGAATTGTGGGCAAAAATTCGTCACAAACATATCGCTGATGTCTTAGAGTATGTATTCATGTTTTATACATTAGATACATTACACCAGCATTTCCAAACCTTTTTCCAGTCATGGCACCTTTTTAAAAGTATGCAAAATTTTGAGGCACCCACTCTAAAATGTAAAAAACATCCATTTTAAAAAAACGATGTATGGTCCCTCCAAAATCCATACCAGACCCTCATGCCAGATCTCAGGGTCTGGCATGTATTTTAAGGGAAGACCCCACAGAAAAACAATAAATGGTGTTTCCCTTTTACAGCAGAGTCACCCCTTCAAATCAGGACCCACCTTTCCATTCATATCGGCATCCCCCCTTTCACATCGGAGCCCCCATTTACATCAGGAGACCCCTTTACTTTAGAGCCCCCTTCTTTCACATCAGAGTCCCCCCTTCACATCAGAAGCCCTGTTGCAGCATGGCAGAGGGCGGGAGGTGAAGCAGGCCTTACGAAGAAGAACTTCCATTCTTTTCTGTATGGATCCAACCCTCCCTGGATTAGCATTATTCGTTTCCATGGCGCTAGTGAAAATTTTGAGGCACCCTGGTTGAAAAAGGCTTCATTACACTGCTGCATTAAGGATATATTTATAGAGGTTTTAGATTTCCTTCTGTGCAGATGTTCATTTGAACTGACTATTGGTTTACCAAACTGAAATGCAAGTAAGAGCTTAAAACAGTAGTCACATTTATGAGTAATGCTTTATTTCACTTACTCTTTAGTGGTGTGTTCATCGTCTCCACTGGTAGGACAATTTGGGCACTTTCTGCACAGGGAAATTTTCAGGTCACGGACAGTTGTAGGTGCTTCAGGTCTAGAGTGAGGAAATTCAGTTTTATATCGATGACCGTTGATCCAACACTTAACGTAGAATTAAACTCTCGGGTTTTCTTTGCATATATCTACTCCTAGCAGGCAGTAGATGTATGCAAAAACATTTTTTTTTAAAGTTACCAAAAAGGTAAGTGCTTCCGTCTCCGCCACTCGCTCCCGTCTGAAGATGATGCGCAGCAGAGATCTTTGGCGGGGAGAAGAGGAGAGACACAGTGGAGGTGAATGCACGCAGCCATGAGCGTGCACATTGGACAGACACTGTGGGACAGGAAGAGACAGCAGTCTACGCTGGATCAGAGACTGGTACCAGCGCTGGAGGGACTCCTGAATACAAGTGGAATGAAGAAGATCGGATCAAGAGGCATCATTTAAGGTAAGTCCTTAAAGCAGCATGGGGGAAGAGGAAAAGATTTGTGACTGTCACTTTTAACAGTTCAACCTTTAAACGTCTGTGTTTTGGTTATTTATTTGTTTTCAAAGCATTAGTAAGATTTCCTTATTGTATTTTAATTTTCTTTTCAGGGAGCTACCAAAACTTGTTAAAGAAATTTCTTCTGCCAAAAAAGAAACAGATGGCAAGGTAATACTAAGTTTTTAAAGGAAAGGGGGGCTGTTTTACCTCTTCCTTTTTTTTTTCTTCCTTTTTTTGTTCTTTTTTTTAAAACAAAAATATGGTAGAGAATGTAATGACAAAAAGTACAATAAGATAAACATGCAACATTGAACATAAGTATTCACTGAACATACACTGAGGAATTTATCAAAACTGGAGCAGACACAAAATGGGACAGCTGTACATGGCAAGCAATTAGCTTCTCTTTTTTTCATTTTCAAATCTTAACTGAACAAACTGAAGAGATAAGCTGATTGGTGGCCATAGGCAACTGCTCCAGATTCTGTCTGCTCCAGTTGTGATAAATTCCCCCTATTGTGCCTTCCCATAATTCTAGTTGTGGTCAACTTACAATCTGTAAGGGATCTCCACTGCACCTCCACACATAGTCTTCTGTAGTGTTACATATACTGAATATTATCAAAGATTGCTGACATACCACAGGAGATGGTTAGGGACCCTGGACATGCCAAGGTGTAGCTGGGAAATTTGGACCTGCTACAGGGGACAAGATCTGGGAACATATTAACTGAAGCTTATTGCTACAGTGTCCAAGTGCGCAGAACAAGTGTGAAAAGGCCACATGTACTTGGCTGGACACGGGGCTCAACGTTGTACTGAATTTGTCAACGCAAAGTGCAAAGGTGTGCTGTACTGCCAAGTGTAAGCTTGGTTATTTTGTACAGCCTCTGTCAACAGCTTGCCTGCCACAGCTCTGATTACCCAAATATTTCAGCCATGTACCAGTCGTTTTTCAGCCCTCCAGCTAACAACTACTGCATGTTGTCTACATTTTGTGTTCCTCACCATTTTCTCCCACCCACAACATAATCTTAATTCCAGTTCCAGGCTTGCCTCTTATAGCAGATCACCAGTTTTCCCAAAATACATTTATACCCTGACACTTTTAAAAGAGCAGGAAAGTGTTTACCTTTGTTTAAAGTTTTAGGTGGTGAACATTACCTATTTTTACTTTTCTCAACAGCTTAGCATAGGTAATTTGTCCAACCTCATGAAAAAGATGCCACATATCAAAAAACAGATGAACAAGGTAAGAAGGCATATTTTACATTTCTTGTATTCTACTGACATTTTATCAGTTCATATTTTTTCTGTATACTATAAGAATATAATGTAGTAAATAACTTGTAGTAATATTCTTTCATTCCATTTCTTACCATTTTACAGCAAACATTGCATATCAATCTAGCTGAGGATTGCATGCAGAAATACAAGGGGAATCTTGAGAAGCTCTGTAAAGTTGAACAGGTATGTATGTTTGTTATTGATAAATTGCTTCTTATGTATTCAGAATATTATTTATATATAAAAGTCATGTAGTTGCAAAGAAATGACCTGGTGATCCTGCTGCCTAGATTTATAGCATTATTTTTGTTGCTGGGCTGACAACGCACTTCAGCCGCTATTGAACTGGCTACTGCATGGTTGGTATCTGGAAGCTGCGCCACTGATCTTCTGTGCTGTATCCCTCAGCCCTGGAAACTGGAGGAATGTGCAGGAAACGTCACTTCCGCCAGTGCGCTTAGATGCACACCCACCCACTGCTCACATTTGTAATAAACATCTAGAACAATTTGTGGGTGCGTGACAAGAAAAAAAAAGTATGGCAATGACAATTTTTGGTATGTGAACCATGTTAAGTTGCAAACCTAATAGTGTAAGCCTGTTTATGTAGGGTAACCTATACAACTACTGTTACATTAAAATTTTTGTTGGATAATTTCTTGTGTAGCTGCAAACAAGTAATACGTTTAGCATTTCATGTCAACTTCATTATCCTTAGTAGACCTAAGTTTAGCTAGCTAATTGACGTGTTTCCTGTGTGTGGGGGAGGAGATTCCATCTCGTGATGCTGTCCTGGAAGACTAATGGAAATAGAGTTACCGGTAAGTCCTAACTCTGAATTTTTTTCTGCTTGTGCTTGGCCTCTCCTGTTTAAAGGCAGACAGATAAATGCACAGATTAAATACATATATTAAAACACTGTTATCCCTGACAAAGTATGTGTTTTTTGTCTATCCAGTTCTGAGTTTTACACAGCCAGGCAGGCCACACTACTATCTCTTTTACAGTTGTAGACTATAGAAGAGATACAGCGGTGTCATCCCTCCATCCCTAGCCTGCTGACTGGACAGTGAAAGTGCAGCAGAAGATTGATGAGGGCACCACTTTGCCCTTTCCTCCTATTAGCATCTTCTTCTGTCAGTACATTTGCCTTCAGTACACCTGAATAGTTTACAGTCCTGTCCCTCCCTCTCCCAGTGCTGCCCTATAGGGGATTGCAAAAGGCTAATATCAGTCAAATTCAGGTATCTACACTTGTTGGGTTAAAAAAAAAATAATAGGGCTGGTAATGATTACAAATTTCCTGTTCGATTAATCGAAATTTTTTTAATCAATTAATTTCGATTAATTATAACGCACATACAGATCCAACTACATTGGCCTAGACACATACAGCACAGCAATGAAGTAATAATATGAACTAGGATCACACTAATCCAGCACGTTATTAATCTCACGTGCCCCACTCAATATGGCCGCCGCTTGAGTGGGGCAACTCAGAATAATAATAACGTGCTGGATTAGTGTGATCATAGTTCATTTTATTACTTCATTGCTGTGCTGTATGTGTATAGGCCAATGCCAGGGATCCCAACCTGAAATAAGCAATTTCAGGGAGGTGTCCCTCTCATTTCAGGGAGGTGCCCTCTCCCCCCCATCCGTGGAGGGGAGGGTTAGGGGGTGCTGGGAGAGAGCACCCCCCTGAAATGATGGCAGATAGCACAGGAAGCAATAGCTTCTTTGCTATCTGCAGACTTTTTTTTTTTAGTATTCTGCCAGTTGCAGTTGTCAGAATAAAAAAAAAAAGGCATAAGAATGCATAGCTAGATTCCTATTGGCTATTGCACTTTGCAATAGCCAATAGCAAACTAGCTAATGCACCCGCCCCCTGCTGCTTTCAATCACCAGAAGAGGACCTGATAGAAAAATTCAGGTCCCCCTCTGCTGATTGACAGCAGCAGTGGGCGGGTGCATTAGCTAGTTTGCTATTGGCTATTGCAAAGTGCAATAGCCAATAGGAATCTAGCTATGCAATCGTATGCCTTTTTTTTCTTTTCTGACTGACGGTCAGGCCGCGGCTCCCGATGTCAGAAAAGGAAAAAAAAAAAAACAATTGCAGGGAAAGGTTTAATCTGCTCCATTGAGCAGATTAAACCTTTCCGGTAAAAAGTTTCGTCACCGGATCTCCGACGGAAGACCCGGAAGCCGGTGGAGAGGTGAGTACGGATCAAAATAACTTTGATCGATCAAAATGATTTTGATCGATCAAAAAAATGAACGATTAATCGAGGGATTAATCGTTAATTTCCGCAGCCCTAAAAAAAATACATATAATTATTAATAACTACAGAGCTGCCATTATTTTTGTATTTTATATCAATGCACAAGTTATAAATGCATTTGTTAAGGTTTGAAGGGGCCAGTTACTAACTTGTAAAAGCATCACTTTGCTGCACATAGCCTGTACAGAGAGCAGAGCCATGGGAGGAATCCAGCAGGTCCTCCCGCTACAGGCTGCAAAAAACTATAGGAGGGGCATATACAAAACCAGTCACTGCACAAGGAGAGAGAGCAGCAGCGACTGGTCCTAATACAGGAAGCTCGTAGTTTTACACAGGATTACTGCACAGATCTGGAAGAAATACGCAAAGTGCACCAAGATTTAAGTAAGAATTCACATGCCTCCTGTATTTAGATAATATTATCTTATTCTAGAGTTCAGCTTTAGGGTCTATCCTCCAATGACTATGCTTTGGCATAGGACTGCTGTATTATGGCCTTGGGCTCATGTCTTGCCCCTATGTGCATAGTATGCCTCCAGTATCCAGGGGTTGTTCTGGAGTACATACATTGTTTAAAGGATTATGAAAATCACTTTGTACTGTTTGTGTGGACACATTGATATCCCTGACGGGTTTACTGTAAGAGTGAACTACGAGCAAAACAAAATTGTCCAAGAAATTCTGCTAATCTGCATCTGTACAGCTTCCTGCAAAATCTAATGATCTGCAACATATTCCAGTATTTTAAAAGCTTGAACTAAACTTAATTTAAAACAAAAACACCAAGTGGGCACAACCAGAGATATTCGGAGTTTACTAAACTTTGCTATGGACTTCTTACCTTGGCACTGTGTATTGCAGGATCTGGCACTAGGGAAAGATGCCGAGGGCCAGAAGGTGAAAGAGCACATGCGTGTTTTGCTGCCAGTTTTGATGAATAAAGACCTGGAGAATTATGACAAGATTAGAGCCATCCTTCTGTACATCTTTGTGGAAAACGGTAAGTTATTAGGGGTGTTGTGATCTAATGCTGTAGATTTATTAGTACTTGCCTCAAGCCACAAATAAAAAAAAAAGTTCAAAGCGAAACAAAATAACACAATTTTATAGTCTTTTTATCCCCCTGTGATAGCCAACATAGATCAATAACGTGCACAGCAATGTGACATACAGTGAGGGAAATAATGATTTCATCCCCTGCAGATTTTGTAATTTTGCCCACCTACAAAGAAATGAAGGGTCTGCAATTTTTATCATAGGTGTATTTTAAATGATAGAATATCAACCAAAAATCCAGACAAAACACATGATACAAATGTTATAAATCTGCAGGGGATCATATAATTATTTTGCACACTGTATGCCGAGCATCCCAATTGCTGTACAGATATGTATACCCTCTGTAAATAGCTAAGGATCACATTAACATAATGCATACAGGGTTACATTTTTTTGGTTCGGTCCTAGTGGTATTTTACACCCAATGATAAATAGTACAAAAGAACAAACCAAAATGGGATTTTAGAGGCGCTATGACAAAACATGAACATAAAAACATTGTTTATTAAAGCATATCCCATAGTGTCCTAATGGTACCCAGCCACCCACATTATCTATCGATCATTAACTATCGCAGCACAGAAGGTGTCTACATGGATCACATGCCATATAATTCGTTTCCTGTGGCATGTAGTGTCTGATGCGTTTGGGAGGGAGCTTCTTCAGGGAATGGAGGTAGATATATCTAGCAGGGACAAACAGTTCATAAGTAAATTGCATCAATCTCCAATGGTTTAAAAAAAAACCCTGCATGTTACATGAGACTTTTGGGGCTTGATTTAATAATGGAGTAAAGGCTGTTCATTTTGCTAAGTGAATGCTAGTTTATTGCGTGAACCTTTTGAAAACCAACGTATGTGCAGATAAACATTTGTTTTTTTTATAATTTTCCGTTTATTTAAATATTTACATATTTAAAGTGAATACCTTATTTACCAAGTGAACCCTGGGTTTGCTAAGTGAACAGCCCCTGCTACGTAACTCAAACAGACTTGATGTGTATGGTAATGCACACATATTAATGTGAATAGGCCCATAGTTTCCCTTTTGACTTTTACACCAAACTGCAGCACATAGATGTGAACCACGTACAGAGGAATAAATGGGATTTCTACTTGACTTGCTTTTTTGTGCAGCAAAATGCAAGAGTTTTGCTGCATCGAGACAGACAAGTGTGAATGGGCCCTAAATAATAGATGGGAAATGTGAGGCCAGACAGGAAGATCGGGGGAATCTCCTAAAGTGAGGAGAAATCCCCATCTTAGTCAGTTGCCCCAGGAACAGATGCTCCTATTGGAAGACTTCACCATACTTCTTGTTCTAGGAACAGCGCTAAGATGTTTGCATTTGCCCTCACTCTCTTGTTCAGTGACAGTATGGTTGCCAGGACAAATGGGGGGGTTAAATCTCCTCAATGGGAACACAGCAGTAAAAATGTGACAGACGGTCTAACTATTCACCGCTCTATACAAAACTAAAGCAAAAAAAAATGTTAGGGATTTTTCATAATTGAATCGTTGCCCGATTTTTATTTTTTCGATTTAGTTGCATTAAAAAAAAATCTCTCTCTCTCTTCCCCCCTCTCTCTCTCTCGATCATCCTCTCTCTCCCAACCAACTAATCTCATAATCGATTAGTTGTTGCAGCCCTAAAAAATGTTTTGCCTAGAGATTCACTCAAAATATTAGTGAGTAGTATTAATACCTCTCTTACATGAGCCAGCTTATTAAGATTATCTGGTAGTCTTCCTGGGTATTATTTGATTCATTCAGTGTTTAAGCCATTAATCATATTTATAATGCAGAATTGAGGAAGTATTTTAGCTGTGTACTTTTATTTATACAATTAAAGGGTCAAAGTAATTTATGTTTGCATGTCATGGGGAACTTGTGATGTGGTAAAACACACCAAGGGTACTTATTACACATTGACTTTTACAAAGTGCATGTTCTATGACTAACTTGAGTGACAAACTTGAGTTGTGAATTACGTGAAAATATTGGAGTTTCTTACTATTTACTAAGTAATGCCAAAGTGATAACCTCTTACAGTGTCTTAATTTACAATACATGTTATACATCAAGGTGGAATGTAGGGAAAGGTTTTCTTTTTGTTCTTGGAGATACAGTAGGCTTTGTGTGTTTTATGTTTATGGAATGTTCACTGTAGTCTTTGTGCCCCAGAGGATGTTAATTGAGAAAATAAAAAGCTTTCATACTTGCAGAACCATTATGTGGCATTGGCCTTCCCTCTCGGGGATGTTTTGCTAGTTCTGTTGTAGTCTGATATCCTTGCTGTGGGTTATATTTCTCCTCTAGGAGGTGTTCATTCCCTTATTTTATTCCGTATATCTGTCTATAGGTAGATTCCTTGCTGCTCGGTATGGTTTTAGGCTTGGAGACAAGTGGCCTAATTATTGTATATAAATAGTTTCTTATTTGTTATGCGTGTGTATCAGATTATATGTATATGCACACCTATTTATTTGCTTAAGTCAAACTGTTACATTTATTTTAATAGTTAAATGTGCCATTTGAGTTGGTTTAAAAGAGAAACTATTCTTACATAATTTTGTTTGCTGAAATCCAAAGGGACAACACAGGAGAACTTAGACCGACTTATACAACATGCCAAGATAGAGAGCGATGGAGATGTGTTAAAAAACTGGAAATATATTGGTGTTCCGATTGTCCCAAAGGTAAGGTATGACTGCAAGGCAGCCTCGTTAAGAGATCTGTAAACGGTAGGATTTTTTTTTCTAACGGTTCCCATGGATAGAAAAATGAATGGATCATTGCTAGATGGAGCTAATAATAGTGGGATTCAAATTTAATTGAATGCATAAGGACATGTTGTAATCTACAGACGCCAAGGGGCAACTGATTTAAAGGAGAATTATGGGGAGAGTGAAATGCACTAAGCCCTATAGTTAGAGCCGACATCTGACACTGAAGCTGTCACAGGTCGCCTCTATCGATTGAGAACTGAGTAATCGCATACTGCTGATTGCTCAGTTCCCGATCTTCTCCCTGCAAAGAGTGATGACTGTCACCACTCCCTGCAGGGATTCCCCCCTCTTCTCTTTGTTCCTCCAGCACTGACTGGAGGGGGCAAGCACAACTGGCTCTGCCTTTAGAGAGGCAGAGCCAGATGGCAACCAGGCAGCAGGATGGATCCTGACAATATTGTCGGTATCTTTCCAGGCTGCAGTACGGCTGTGCACTGTCAGCATATAGCGGGCAATGGCCCATTGTATGCTGCGTGTTGGGTCACAGGAGGACATTAGTAAATTTCCTCCTGTGACCAAAAAGTGAACTATGGCAAAAAAAGGTTTTGCCACAGTTCTCTTTTAAGGGGAAGTTTCCATCTCCCAGGTTGGATTTTTCCAGCCAGCTATTAATTTTTCCCTGTGATTTAAAGCATCACCTCAAGTGTCTGCCAAGTGCCTGAATATGCATGGTTAGCTGGCACAATCATGCATGTTTATGTCACAGTCAGTCTAAAGTGTAATTTGCATCTGAGCACTTGAACTCAACAAGGCAAAAAGCTGCACGGTTTATCTCTTGCTTACTGTCTGCTCTGATTTCATCAGTGTTATTCGTGGTCTGACACTGAGCTGGACAGTGGACATGCACCCCTGAAAGATCAGTCACTCATAATAATTTTTTTTCTTTTTTGCTTTCTTTTCTTGCACCTTGATCTAACCTTTCTAATGTTTGCTTTCCTTATTCCTTTAAGACTGTCTTTGCTGGAGATTCAGGTCAGTTCAGAATCAAACTGTGTATACTGCAGTACAACTATAACAACAAATCCTGGTGTGTGCACATGTATCAACTGCTCATAGACTGATAGAGCATGTAAGCATGCACAAGGCTCTTTGAACAGGAAAATTACAAAATACTGTAAATCTGTTTTATTATGCATAAATATGCATATATATTATTATGTTTGAAGGGCACGTATGCCCTGGTTTCCCCAGTCTGCTTTCCGGCACTGTGCATTCTGTCTGCATGAGCTACCTGCTCATTCACAAAATACCTTGGGGGGGAATTTGTCAAAACTGGAGCAGAGAAAATCTGGAGCAGCTGTGCATGACAAACAATCAGATTCTCTCATCAGTTTGTTCAGTTAAGATTTGAAAATGAAAGAAAGAGGCTGATTGGTTGCCATGCACAGCTGCTCCAGATTTTGTCTGCTCCGGTTTTGGTAAATTCCCTTCCTTGTCTTTTTCTCAAAGAATACAAGATGTTCTGTGATTGGAGGGGTTGGGGATGTGATGTCACAGAACACCTTGTATTACTTGAGTAAAATACAAGGCACGTTGTGAATGAGTAAGTAGCAAGGAGGGGTGGAGATGCGACTAGAGCACTTTAATGCTCTAGTTACATCCCTCACTCCCTGCCATGCCTGGAAGCTGAGTGTTTTGGATAGGAGCTGGTGTGTTGCAAGGAGCAGAAGCCCTCCACATATAACATACAGCTTTTTAGTGATCACACCCAGTGCGGTGTATAAATTAAAAACATTTTTTCCAGGAGTTTGGCTTTAAGAACTTCAAGCTGTGTATGGGTAGCTTAAATCTTCAAGAAACATATTCACCTTACTCCACTTACTCTATTAACTCAAACCAATTAAGAATACGTCTTAAGTAACCCGTTGCATAATAGAAGTTCACTGTGATCAGGCTTTTTTTTCATCCTGTCGTCTTTTAAGTTCAATTTGGTCCTTTATTGTGAATGCCAAAAGCATGCATTAGATGCCTAATCAACTTGCTTTGTAGTGACACAATGCACAAAAAGTGATCCATTCTATTATGTAAATTTTACTGCTGTATACAGTATAAGCCCATATAGCTCTTTATCTGTAGTACATGAAATGTATATAAATAGATTACTATTTACCTCCATCTCCTCACTATACACACTGTAACAGTTTCACTGCTTGTAATCTCTGCAATGCTCTGAATTATCAAAACTACAGCTCTACAACAATCACATTTACAACAAACATCAAGTTTACAACAATCTACACAGAAAACCAACTTTATTTCAAATGTAGGAGTCGTATCCCCTGTGACTGGGTGACCAGATTCAGCATGTGAGCTGAGACTCAGAAGAAAGTATAAGGCACATGCTGAATCTTCTCACAAGCCGCTCCCCACACACTCCTTCCTTGGTGAGCCAGGAGGAGAGAAATCAAGGATCATATGTTGGAGTGGGAGAGCTGAAGAAATCCCAGCTCTTTGCAGAGTCTAGAGGGGAGGATTTGTGGGCGGAGACTGAGAAGAGACGCCCTCAGCATCTTGTAGTCCTTCACATGAACCAGCACAGGGGGTGGCTACTTTTCAGCATACATAGGGAGCATGGAGAAGAAAAGTAGCCACCCTCTGGCAGGAAGTTGTGGAAGGAGAAACTCAATCGCCACCGTACTCAATCTCCACCGCTGCTTGGTTTTAATGCAAGTGATCTGATTAGATCACTTGTATTAAACGAGCAGCGGCTCCCACTGTACATTTTAGCTCTGCTTTAGCAGGGCTAAATGTACAAAAAACGACTCGCCCGGTGCCCGAAACTGCATGTTCCGGGCGTCGGGCAATAGGGATTCGCTCCATAAGACGCACACACATTTTCCCCCGCCTTTTGGGGGAAAAGTGTGTCTTATGGAGCGAAAAATACGGTACATCATAGAAAAGAGTACTATTATTTTGCACCTATTTCCTGAAAACCCATCCAGGTTTTTCAGGTATCAAATTCTATTTTCCGACCTGGCCTCTGAAGTACTTTTCTGTGTGTGACTAGTAACAAATAATTTCTAGCATTGAGACATGGAAACCCCATCCACTATCCTCTGCTCCCTTCTGTCTTACTATGGTATACCCCCATAATATAGAGCTGCAGTTGCTGGTGGTTTATGTAGGATAACGCATAGGAGCAGTAGTAACACATGAAGGCTTCAGCGACATAAAACTGTAAGGTACTGGTGGAGGATGATTGCACCAGTAGTCATACGTTCATAACGCCACTTTTCTGGTTCATAGCCCTTGCATTTAAATGCAATGTCATTGTCATGTAGTGGCAGCAAATTGAATTACGGGGTTAATGGAGGCTTAGTGAAATCATTTCCCACCACAACCACATACATTGCGCTCCAGAAATATAAGAATAGTGTCCTCAAGAATCCCTTACTTTTGTAGTGTCTTTAGTGGCTGGTTTATCCCCAAAACTAAGGGGCATAGTTATGAAACAGTGAATGTGATTTTCGCAAAACATTTACTGTTGGCAAAGCAATCACTGTAATTTCAAAACACCAGCACCTGGATGATTCACCTGCAGTAAATGTTTGGTGAATGTCAGATTCACTGCTTTATGACTATGCCCCTTATGTTTAGGACAAGCCAAAAGCTTTTTTTGCTTTTTTTATATTGAGTTCGGAAAGATTAGAACTCCTGCCTGATTTTGTAGTGCTACCACTCACCTTGTGTCCTGGTGACCATTGCTGTCCAGGGCTCCAATTTCCCATCACTTTCGGTCCTGGTCACGACCGTTTTATTCGACAGGAAATGAGGGGGAAAAACTATAACAGGTACACAGACTGAAAAGAAAAATCTAACTGGGGTTCTCGCCTTCCACTATTGGGGGGAAAAAGGCAGGAAGTACAGTTTATAGCTATCCCAGCCCCTTACTTTACATAGAATGCACCCTACTCTTGGCTAGCCACATTTTGACTATTTTTTAAAATAAATTATTTATTTAAAGAGGAGTTTTTGTGTTTTCCGTGTACATATATACTGTTCCACAAGTGTATCCAAATATGAAATACATGCATGGTATCATTAGTACAAATTAGACTTAAGTTGCGGACAGAGATGCAAAACAATATAACTATAACAAATGAAAAATAGAAGGGGAATCAAATGTCAGGACCCAGACCCAAATGATTGTGGAGGGGGTTCTGATGTGAGACCCCCTTTGGGCGGCCTCAGTGTCGTGAGCGGGCCTGGATTAGGACCGGATTTGTGAACTGGGGGCCTGGATCCCTTCTACGGGTCGGGGCACATTGCAGTATCAGTGGTCTGGAAGGGAATATTCCAGGGGGAGGTGGAGAGGTTCGAAAAGGAGGGGGGAAGGGAGAGGGTTAGAGGGTCGGTAGGGGAACCAGAATGGGGTGCTAGCTTGGTAAGTCACGTTACTGATCCTTGACGTAGGGCCTCATAGGCTGGGGAGTTGAGAAACTCAATCCAATAAAAACAGGTCTTTCTGAATTTGTCGGGGGCGTTATGGAGGGAACTGGTAAGGTCCTCCATAAGGTAAATGTCGTGAATCCTATCAAGCCATTGGGGTACGGTGGGGGGTTCGGAATTCTTCCACAGGGCTGGGACACAAGCTCGGGCTGCATTAACTAGGTGGCGCACAACAGATCGTTTGTAGGCCTTAGCCGGTAAGTCATTATGATGCAGGAGGAAGAAGGCCAGGTCTCGAGGAACTGGGAGGTCAGTGAACTGGTGGCGTGGACCTGGTCCCAAAATGCACAGAGTGAGGGGCATGACCAAAATAAGTAGAGGATGTCTGCTGATGGGGCGTCACAACGCCAGCAGGGGTCTGGGGGTACATGGAGTGTAAAATTTGTGGTGTCCTGTACCACCTGGTGACCAGTTTGTATCCCGACTCCTGGTATTTATTGCTTATGGAGGATTGGTAGGACAGTGAGAGCAGCTTTGTGCGTTCTCTTGGGGTGAACTGGACTCCAAGGTCCTCCTCCCACCCCGTGAGGAACCACTGAGCGTCTGGTGTGCTATCGGACAGCAGGAGTTTATAGCAGAAAGATAAGACATGGCGGGCCGGGCCCTCTCGGGAGCATTCAGATTCAAATGGGGACAAGGTTCTGGAGGGTTGGGCCGGGGGGGTGGGGGGAGATCTCAGGAGAATGGAGCGATTGCATAGTACGCCAAGGGTCTCGTTGTGGGCCAGGAGGTACCGTTCAGGAAGTGGAGCGCTCTAGATTTTCCAGGGGTGCCGAGTTTAAGAAAACTATTATCTATTCCTGGGGGGAAGGCCGGGTTGCCCAGGACTGGGACCATCGGAGAGGGGTAGTGCGATATGGAATATTGTGAGAAGGCAGACCGGGCCACTGTCAATGTAGGCATTATGGTGGGGTGAGAACGGATGGCAGGGAGTATGGGGGAAGAGCACCACGGCAGTCCTGACAGTCGAAGAGAGAGATTGATGTAAATCACCTCCTGTTCATTCATTTATAACTGGGGACACATAGTACTATGTGTCCCCAGTTATTTACAAACACTGGAGTGATCATCTGGAGTGATCACTCCAGATGTCCTACACAGAGGATTGGTACATACTAGTGACGTGCCGGTTCCTTCACTTCTTCTCGGATCCCCTCTGGGGAGAGCAGCAGGGATCCAGAGAAGCGGCGGGAGGAGAGGACATGGCGATCTACCAGTGATCGCTGCGCGATCGACCTTGTGGGCATCCCTGGTCTAGGATTTCTAAGAATTCGGTGCCCCTCAATGGACGATAAAGAAAATTAGGATTTTTGTACTCACTATAAAATCCTCTTCTTGGAGTCCAATGGGGGACACAGGCCCCTACCCTCAGTGTTTCTTTCATGTTCTCAGTTCTACTTTGCTACAAAACTGAGGTATGATGGTTGTGCGAGAGATTATCCTGTGCTGACTACTGACTTTTTTTGTTGCCTGTGCCCATTCCTCATGTAGGCAGCAGTATAACCAGACAGTCAAAGGATTTTACAGTGCGTGCAAAAATCCTATTTTACCTTCTGTTTTGCCCACCCTGTTGTGGCACTGCTTTGGGGTGTCCCAGTTGGTAATTATCTAAAGCAGAGCTGGGTCCTCCACTGAACAAAAGAGGAATAGGGTTTTTGTACTTGAAAGAGAACTATGTGGTAACCTTTTTCCCCCCATAGTTCTCTTTAGGGCAACGGGAGGACATATACTAATGTCCTCCTTTGACTCAAAACTCAATATATAGCGGGCTATTGCCCGCTAAATGCTGAGAGCGCCGCAGCCGGGACGAATCCACACAGTGCTGTCAAGAGCCACCCCGCTGGCTGATTGACAGCGGCTCTGCCTATCTAAAGGCAGAGCCAGCTATGCCTGCCACCTCCCCCTTTGGTCCCTCCAGTCTGAGTTGGAGGGGGTGGGGTTAATCCCTGTGGGTACCAGTGACATGACGGTTACCGCTCTCTGCATGGAGATGATCGTGAGCGAGCGGCGTTATGTTTTCGCTCACTTCCCGATCAATAGAGCTGACGTGTATATAGGGTTCAATATCACACGTCGGCTCTAACTATGGGGATGAGTGTAATTCACTCACCTCATAGTTCACCTTTTTAATATAAAATCCTTTTATCTGCGTTCTTTTTAGGACACAACTCTGGTTTAGATAATTGCCAACTGGTTATGGTGCCACTTGCAGGAGTTCAACTGAAAAACCAGACAGCCCAAGGGGTCGTACCTGCTGGTGGCCAGAACCACCTTCACACTGGGAACAACCTAGGTAAATGCTTCAGCAGTGCAAGCTTTATAACAAAATGCTGTGCCCTCCAATGAAAAATTGATTTTATGGCAATTTTTCATTGTGGGCTGTTGTGGTGCGTTTAACGTACACGTGTTAAAGGCAGCTTATTCATTGGAATTGGGTGCCCAACTCACCACAATGGGCCAAAAATCCATCTGCGCTGTGCTCTAAAATACTTGGTAGTGTATTACCGCACAAAGTGGTGCATTGGGGTGCCATTCATAATGTATGGCACCTCAGTGCAGCAACGCACAAAACATGCATTGGTGTAAATGGGCTGGTTGCCTTGCTGTGCTCTGTGGCTGTTGCTTCAAGGTTCTCTAAGACACCACCCAAAAAACTATTATGCAAGGTTAGAAAGTCAAAGATTTGTGGGCCAGAGATGAGCAGCCAACTAGCATTTTTTTCAGAGGTTCATCTCTGACACAATGTCATTTTGCCCATTTCCTGTAAAACTAGCCTTTCAATTGCACACCCCCTATTCCACGTGGCACCATGCAGGCTGAGCGATGCTCAGACCTGGGGTTAAACCTGAGAGGGGTTTTAGTCCTTCCCCTCTATCCCCTTTAGTCCTTCTATCCAAAAACTAAGAAAGTTTGGGCTATAGATATACATTTTAATGAAATTTTAAAATGCTGTATCTAAAACCAAGCTCCCTAATACATGCTTCTACCCCTATGTTATGGCATTTTACGGTGTAGATTTTAGGGCAGCAATGGTAGCGTTGTCTGTCGGCTCACTGCAGAAAGTTAGGATCTCGTGGGATTTCTGGAAGCATCATCGGATATTTCTGTAGGTGCAGCATTTGTAAATAGTCATAATACGTAGTAATGTCCATGTGTTGCAGAGCTAAAACCTGACTTTCCTGACATATCAACTTTTGTCTTCTAGTCTACACTGCGCAAACCAGCCAGGAGGGACAGATCAAGAGAAGAAACATTCCAGCTTTCTAGATGGACACCAGTGATAAAAGATGTCATAGAGGTAAGATCGGGTCAGTTGTAGAAATTCTGTACAAGTGTAAAACAAGGTTTTACATATAAGAGGCCTTGGCTGGCAGAAATGTGGACAGTCTGTATGTATCACCTGGGTTTCTCACATACACATGGTGTGGGCCTTCAGGGTTTATGACTAATGTGGAGAAAGCAAAAGATTCTTAATAGGTCTGTTCTGTTCTGTGGCCTGGAGCTGGAAGGCTTTGTATAGTTTGGGTGAGATAATTCTTCCATTCCGAGGTCCACATCTTAGTTGGTAGCCCGAGCTTATTATTTTTATATCTCAGCTGTCCACGGACCTTTATATATTCGAGCAGACTGATGCTTAGGGCTCTCTTTGAGAGCTTGCTGGTCGGTGAGGCTGTTGTCTTTTGCAGCTGATGGAGTGGCATGGAAGGAGCTTCCTTTCCGAGTTTGGAGGAGCTTAGGTTCAGTCCAAACCTGAGCTCATTCCTATTAGAGAGTTTATCCATAATCCCTGTAGATATTCTGCATCATTTGATCATCTATAACTAAAATATGTAAATGTATATTGATTTATCAGCTTTTTCCATTTATTTAGTGACAGGCATGCAGATTTCTTTGTTTTGTAAGCAGCATGTAGGCAAGCGCTTCTCTTAAGTAGTTCAACTGAGTCATTTATCTTTCCCAAAACACAATCATGCATTCAGGTCTATGCATATTAGGAGTGCTTGACTTGCGGTAAACCGAACGTAATCATGGCTCTCCTCTACCGCTACAACAACTGATCCTACATAATGGTACTTCGTGCTCTAGTATAAGGCCTGGAGCTCCTTGTTCCTCTACTGGCTCCCAATGTTCATTGTATAATGGTGTGTAACCATGCATTTCCTATGCCTGTATTGAGACTGTAATTTATCTTTGTACTGAGACTGTGAACTCATTAGGATCTTTTTCTTGTGGTTTATGTCACTGGGTATGTTGCCCGGGTTTTCCCCTTTTTTATGGGACCTGATTTGTAACATTTTGCTAATTTTGATAAAATAATAAAAAGCATCTTTAAAAAAAAAAAAAAAAAACCTAACTTAATATTTGGTGTATATTAGTATTCTTACAGATATTTGTGTTGATGTTTCACGTGCTTCTCACAAACCTTTGTTGCCCAGAAAAGTTAGTTTCTTATGTAGGGAATTTGTGTGCAGCCATATTTAGGGGGTGTGTACATAAACATAAGATAAGTGAAAAAGGCAAAATACCTCTTGTGTACCCTTTGATAGTTGGCACGCTCTGCTCCCTATTCTCAGTTTAGAAGACGGCTGCAGGCTTCAGGTGCCACTCTTTAATTCCCCAGACTGTCAATGCTTAGCTGCCTAAATGTCTTCATATTTTAGAAGTTTCACATGTTTGAACTTCTATTTATGTTTTCAGAAATCTTGAACTATATCGTCTTATCTCATCTGGTTGTTTGATAGTTGTATGAAAATTCGTATTGGTTTTATATTTCATCTGATTACATTGAATTTCTACAGGACCATTTTGAGGGCAAATTAGACTCCAAGGAGTGGCCGTACTGTTCAGAGTGTCCGCTAGTTTGGAACGGTTCTGGGGCAGTCAGGTAAGTGTAACCTTTATCATTCCTTTTAAACATGGCCTTTTTTTTAAAGCTTTTGTGTCACATTTGCTGTTATGAAATGCCTAAAAGTTAAATTGAAGTGTTATAAACCTAATTAATTATTACTATTATTATTCATAACAATTCTATGAAGCTTGTAGTTTTAGTGTGTGCTCAAATGTCATTCTATTGCAGGCTCTGCCATTAACAAGGCGGAAAATACTTCAAAACTTAAAGTGCTTTTCACTCACCTCATAGTTCTAGCCGACCTGTGACAATGAGACTGTCACAGGTCGGCTCAGTAGATCGGGAGGTGAGCGAACACATACCGGCGTTCGCTCACCTCTCGATCCTGTCACGGCTCTCTGGATTCCCCCCTCCGATCCTCCAGCGCTGACTGGCGGAACGGACGGGGGAGGGGTCAGGTACAGCTGGCTCTGCCTCTAGATAGGCAGAGCCAGCTGTCAGTCACGCAGCTGGGCGGATCCAGACATAATTGTCGGGATCCTCTTCAGCTCGCGGTATACTGCGGCGTCTCAGTATACCGCGAGCTGCAGCTCGCGCTATACTGAGCCTAGGAAGACGGGAGGACGCTAGTTTGTGTCCTCCCGTTACCCTAAGGAGAACTAATGGGGAAAAGCCTTAACCCCATAGTTCTCCTTTTAAAGAAGAACTCCAGACATAAATATTCTTAGCCCATACATATTTTTAGTTAAGTGGTCGTTTTCGTCTGGGGATGAAAATAAAAGAAGATATACCTGAACCTTGGAGCTGGCAGGCGGCATCAGGTCCTGCGAATGGACAGACATTCCATTGCTGGAGTGGAGGAGGAGACATGCCTTGTTCACAGGTCTAGCAGCCAGCTGACTCCGAGGTCCAGATGAGCCTTTTATTTTTATTACTTTAGTCTCTAGATGAAAACAAGCTCCTAACCCTTGCTGGGTATCCCCACTGCATGGATTAGGAATATTCATGCCGGGAATTCTTCTTTAAAGAAGAGATATAACTTCATATGAGAATCTGACATTTAAGGAGATTTGGGAAAATGAATGCTTTGGTGTGCTCAGTCTTCACATGTGGGAGAATTTTGGGAACAGCTTTCTCTTTTTTTGTTTATTTGTACCTTGGTAACATTGGTTCCATAAAACAAGCTTATTTTCTGAGGCTCTTGCAGGACAGGCAAACATGGACATGTCATTTTGCTTCGTGTAGCTACCTCCTATACTAGCATGTTACACCCCTTTCCGTCCATGTCCAGTACTGTGAAATTCTGACTGACACTCACTCTGTCATGCATTTGTGTCTTTATTTTCTACTATATAAAATACTAGAAGATTAGTATTTCCCTCATTTTCTATGGGCAGAGGGGGTATGCCATACTAACACACATATGTATACATTTTATGGGTGGGGTGTCCTACTCCGCATGATCACAGGCATTGTGAGCGTGTCTGGAGTGCCACATACACATTTTAAACCAAGGACCTTTTTAAATGTCGGAGCTGGTTGATGGGTGGCTAATCAAAAGTCACTTTAGCAGGATGCCTTTCTGAATTTTTTTCTGTATTAACAGATTGTGATTTCAGCCTCGGCTCCTTCACTCCTTTTATTCTATCCCTACCAATTTTACTTACACCATCCTCACAATGCTACACCTCCCTCCCCTAGTTACATTATTACGTTCTGTGCAGTGGATCTGTCTTCAAGTACTGGTTGTACTTTGTTTATGTGCCTGACTTGTGTGTGTTCCTCCTGTATCTTTCATGTATCAATAACAAAGCTTTCCACAAATCCCGGTCATCTTCAGTACCCAGCAGTATTTACCTGATAACTGTGATTGGCTCTGTACCTTGCGATTCCTATAAACCAATCAGATTGGCTCTTTTCCTGGCACAAGCACACACTGTAATCAGGAGGACATATTTAAAAGAGGACAAAGGACCAACCTTTTTGTTTTTGCCATAGTTCTCTTTAGGCGCACAGGAGGACATATATTAATGTCCTCCTGTGACCCAAAACTCTGCGCCGCTATATGCTGACAGCGCAGAGCCGCACTGCAGCTGGGACGGAACCTAACAATATTGTCGGGATCCACCCCTCTGCCTGATAGCTTGTTGTGCTGTGCCCCCTCTCCTGTTCGTCCCTCCAGTCAGCAGTGGAGGAGCGCAGATGGGAAGGGGGTAGTCCCTGCGGGGAGAGGTGCCCGACTCTCTGCAGGGAGAGGATCAGGAACTGAGCCATCAGCAGGATGTGATCACTCAGTTCTCGGTCACACGTCGGCTCTAATTATGGGGATGAGTGTTTTTCACTCTCGCCATTAATCTTTTTACAATCAGTTCAGAGCAATGGCTCCCCCGACCAGCTGTTTAACTACAATACCTTGACAGAATGGGGTTCATCTAGTAGACAAAATAGCAGCAAAGTTTGGTGTAACCGGAAAATACTGACATTCAAAGTTACAAGCAGCATGGTACAAAAGAAAAACACGCAACATTGCAATAAAAAAAAGAAAAAGTGACAAATTCAACATTATTCACGGTTTAGATTCTACCATCTTTGCAACTCCCCCAAGAGCCTCAAAACCTGGGAAGGTCAATGTGGAATTGGTATATTCCGCAATGAGGTCAGAGCTCTGGCACGCTCATTCCTGCCTTAATATCTTTGTAATGGGCGACCTCACTGACCAGTAGTCGGCTCATGTCTGGAGCTAGGTGGATATTTAATTTTTGAGCACCATGGCTTTTGGGGCACCTGGAGAGCTCTGAAAGATAAAAGGTACACACTTGCATTTGACTCCTGCTTCCAATTTAGCTTGTGAATAAATGTCAGCAGGTGGAATTTTTCCATTTGCGAACGAACATGAAATCATTTAGAAGACTGCAATTTCTTTTAATAGCCTTGACTAATGCACCTAGACTTAACTTGAATCCGTGCACCTTAAACTGGAAATTGAAATACCTGGACAATACCTAAATACAAAATAGCAATTTGGGGATTTTGCCTTATTCAGTCGGAAGGAATCACTATTGCATATAAAAAAAATTCATAGGGACATTTTCATGGATCTTTTTTCCTTAGTTTGTGTTCTGAGGATTACATATTGAGCTGCACTGTTTTATTTCTTGATACAGGAAACAAAAATACAATTTTTACACCTGTTTCCCCTACCACTCATTACTGTTTATGTTTAGTGCCCGACAGAAACAAAATACACTGAGCCGCGAAGAACGAAAACCGGTGTCTAAGCTGATTATTTTTGTGATTGGAGGGATCACACACTCTGAAATTCGTAGCGCTTACGAAGTGACGCAAGCCAACAAGTCTGTCCAGGTTTTAATTGGTAAGTCATATACCTTCCTTCAGTGGTATTGGTATGTTTTCCAACGTGTACTGAAACAGTAAAGAATCCCTTCTTTCCACAACTGCAGGTGGTGTGTCTCTCTTTACATAGTAGTCTGTTTGGGGGGAAAGGAAGACCTCTATGTCAGGCCGACTGTACCATGCCTTTGTTCAAGCTGCACTATTGATTTGTTTAGAAAATGCTGATCACCCTTGACTAAAATATATCTAAATCCAACATCTTGGATAGAGTAGGGAATAGTTAAACCTGCTGCCAGTGTTTCTTCCCACCTGTCCAATTAGGGAGGTTTCTGTTCACTTCCTTTCCTTAAGAAACAGAAAAGTAAAGCTGCCCGTACACCTTACAATTTATCTGCAGATTTTCTGTGGTCAGATGGAGAAGGTGCAACAGATTGGCCCAGGTGGAGATTACTCCATCCACACAGTTAGCGTAGATGGAGGAATCTGTTGCACCTTCTCCATCTGACCACAGAAAATCTGCAGATAAATTGTAAGGTGTATGGGCAGCTTAAGAGTAAATCTCTTCAAAATGAAGGAAATGCCATTTTAGACCGTTGTCACTGCAAAAGTGGCCCCACTTGCTGTATACAGGAGAATAGAATAAATAAAAGCGGTTACTCAGCCAGGATATTAACCCTCCCACTCCCACCATGCTTTATTTTTTTGCTTGTATACGTAGGCGAATGGATATCTTGTCTCCTGAGAGAGAAGCAAACCCATTTTACTTAACATTCTTCTTTTCTTTTTTTTTTATCAAGGTATGTTTTTTCTTTAATTAAGATTCTTTGTTAACTGCAGAGGCATGAGAGCTCATTTTGTAGTAGTTTTCCGGATTGGTTGATCCTCTGTGCTGCTTGGCCTTTGCAACCACCTGGACCACCAGCATCTCAGATGCATGGGTAAGGTTCGTGCCTCCACCCTGCTTCATTTTGTCAAACCTGCCAACATCTCCCCAACTCCTAACAAAACGCCAAACTGCTCTAGCACAACTCCTATCTCAAGGAGTCATTACCCTTGTTCCAGAAGTAGAACAATTTTAAGGTTTATATTCAAACCAAAAGGAGGCATTCAACCCATTCTGGTTCTAAAGGACCTAATTGTTCTAATCTGAGCACACATATTACACATGGATTCCCCATGGTCAGTCATAGTTTCCCCATCCTTCCAGCACTTCAATGCTACCTGCGTTTTGCTGTGCACACACAACACAACAGTTGTTGTCCTTCCCTTTGGCCTGTCCGCTCCACCTCAAGTATTTACTAAGGTGCTAGCTCCTGTGCTAGTTTTATCTATGTTTTTAAAGGGAATTCCCGTTGTGGTATATCTGGACGAGGGAACAATCGCCTCAGGCCCTCTCGTTCAGTCGGCAGTTTAGACTCTTCAAAGGTTCGGTAGTATAGTTAATCATCAGACGTCAGTGCTGGAACTGATTTATCACTGTGGAGTATCTAGGTCAACTCCTAAATGCTACTCGGTCTAGTGTGTTTTTTGTTCCAAGAGATAAACTGAATCTCCACTACCATGTTTGGACTCAGCAGTCCAGGAGCTCGCAAACTCTCCACTTTTGCACAAGCGTTCTGGGTTGATGGTAGGCATGTTTCAACTGAATATTCCGGCTGCGTGGGACGAGAAGCCACATTTGCTGGACAATCCCATGCACCTGACACCCAAAACCAGGTTATCCCTGTCCTACTGGATCAGGAATTCAGCCCTGAAATCAGAAATCCTTCCTTCCATTGGTCTGGAAGATTCTCGGGAATCTGACTGACTGGCGGGACGGAGGGGGCGGGTACAGCTGGCTCTGCCTCTAGATGGGCAGAGCCTGCTGTCACTCACGCAGCTGTGTGTCATTTAAGTAGATCACCTTTATTCGGAGGCATTCTGTTTGAATGAAGATCTAATGTTTTCCTTTTCAAACATGTTGAAAAAGACAACGATTTCCGCAAGATTTATTTCTTTTTTCACATGAATGTAGAAGTTCTTTCTTCTGTTCCTCACAGCTATTCAGTCTATCATTTGTATGATTCATAATGTCGGACACTGCAAGCCCTGATGACGGGGCACTTCCAGACCCCAGAAAGGAGTTGGTTACCTTTTATAAGCTGGCCATACAATCTGCGATTTTTGTTCTGGAATTTTCATTGCTGCCAAGAACCCTCATTTGGTTCTGGCTCAAATAGCCCATCAAGCACAGACCAATGTCATGTCGATTATCGTTCGTTAGCAATACTAACTCACCTAAATTTGTCGAGCGACAGAACAGATTTTCGTTTGCGCATGTGCAGTGTTCATGTTGCGATTTTTTTTTTCCCATACGATAACGCCACTAATTCCATCGATTTTCTTACAGTTCAAAAAACGTTTTCCAGCCTCACCCTTTAAGAAAATTCAGCCAGGAGTCGAGTAAAAAAAAACCCGTTGGGTTCCCATTAACTGATCAATTACCGCTCGAAAGACCATTCGTGGGCGATGTCCGAACGATTATTGATAGGTGTATGGCAGGGGTAGCAAACCTCCGGCCCCCCAGCTGTGGGGAAACTACAAATCCCATGATGCATCTCTCTTCGGGAGTCATGTCTGTGGCTGTGAGAATCTTGCAATGCCTCATGGGATTTCACCACAGCTGGAGGGCCGGAGGTTTTCTACCCCTGGTGTATGGGCACCTTTACAGACTTCTGCAGGCTCATTTAGATTGGAAAGCAGATACCGTTATCCACTCTGTTATACTTCACTGCATACACTGTGGCCCATCCTATTCTTAAAAATCGGGCTGCCGGCTTGCAGGAAAGCTGAATATAGAAAGAAACTTGTTGCGCTCCTTACCGGATGCACCAACGACAGGGGAGGGTGCTTGTAGTGACTGCGGATGGCACCGCTGGCAACAGGTATAAATTGAAGAAATGTTACCAGCACACCAAAAATCCTTTCAGGATAACCATGTGTTCATTTAATAAGAACGAAAGAAAGTTTTTACTTGACATGGTTCTTATTAAATGAACACCATTTTTATCCTGAAAGGATTTTTGGTGTGCTGGTGACATTTTTGCAGGAGAACTTGTCATGTGACTTTTACAGTTTTTGTTTGTAAATGTGCATTTCAATGAGCCCCTTAGTAGACTGTCCTACTCTTTTAGTGTGGCACTCTGGATTGTCCTTCTAGTTTCAACCTGAAGGTCCGTTAGGACATTTCTGCACATATGAGCGCAGTCTGTGCAAACACCTGAATTGATCCACCACCTGTACTCTGTGCAACACAGCCTGTTTTAAGGAACCAGCGCCATCGACGTACCCTTTGATTAAGTAGAAATTGGACGGCAGTAGAAGTCCTTAACCACCAATTAGATTGTAGCTGTTTTCCAGTTCCAGCTTTAAATAAAAAAAAGTCAGATTGGTGTGGGGAAAGTTCACACTTTCCTTTTGAAACTGATTTTTTTTTTTCCCCAAGGCTTTTCCTTACCCTGTGCTTGTTCCTAAAGGAATCTTGAACGTGGTCTTCATATAACTGCAGTGCTATACCAATAACATCTCTGTATCCAACAGTGGTTCATGATTGTATTTTTGTTTTTATCTTCAGGCTCCACTCATATCGCAACACCTAAGAAAATGTTGGATGACATTAAGGACCTCACCAATCCTCGACTGCCTAAAGAGACCTTCACTCTAATGGAGTGAATGTGTGTACTCTATGAATGCATGTCATTACATTTTGAGACGCATATCTGCACCTTGAGTTTTATGCTTGTGTTGTCGAGTTTTGAAGAGCAATGTGTGTTGTTCAATGCGATTTAACTGGATTTTGTGGCATAGAAACAATGTCCCCCAAAATGCATGTTGCCTTCACAAACAAAGCGTGCCTTATTCAAACTAACTCAACCACTGAACTTCTGGGAAACGCACTGAAGTATAAGCCTGTGCAGCTCAAATGTCAAGATTTTAATGTAAATGTGCTAAAGTATATACTGTATATGTAATTCTACTATAATTGAGATATCATGTGGAATTCCACCTATCTATGTTATACTTGTGTATGATAACTGATGCAGCATGGGGCATTAACACATTGTGTATACCGGTAGTATATCTGCTAAGTCCATAGTCTTCAATAGATCCACAGCCAGTGTGAAAGAACAAAGGTGAATAGCGGTTGTTTCTGTTCTATTTGTGGCCCTGAATCTCTATATGCTGATTTCCCTTCATGTCAAAGCTTGAGCTTCTGCTACCTGGTTCC